ACAGGATTGCGGACATTGCCTGAAGCGCCAGTTGTGGCACGGTCTTGCAATACCGGAAATGTATTCCGAGAGCGCGCAATACCGGCAATACCTCGCAATACCTGCAATAATGCGAAATATTGCCCGGTATTGCCGATATTGCCTGGTCTTGTAGGATATTGCAAGGTCTTGCAATATATTTACGACATTGCAAGACCACCCATGACAGCGCATGATCTGACGTATATTGCGCGCTCTCGCTGAGTATTGCCTGAACGGGCAATACGGCAAAAGATTTTTACACTTTTGCTGATGTAGACACCGCACAGACACTTGTAAGGCCCGACCGGGGCAAACAACTGTAGACGTTAATTTGTTTGTCGCCATGAACTTTTTATTTATCACTATTGCCACGCCCTCCCTCTGAGTGGGGTATACCGGGTGTGCTGAATGAACGATGACCAAGCGTTTCTCGTACAGCTGCTGCAGTTGTTCCCGTCTCGATTCTGTGAGGTGCGTTTCCTGCAGCATAAGGATTCCCACCCTATTCTCATTCATGAGTCTTAGAATACGACCCCATTTATTTTCTCTGTGATCCGGCTGCATGTTCCCGAAGCCGTTCATATTCAGCGTTGCAATGCGTATCGTTGTTTTTTTTGCGAGTTGATCTGCTCTACGTCTCGCTCTCCTATTCGGGGTATTCTCCCTGTGTATGGCCAACTCTCTGTCGCCATTTACCCTTTCGCTCTGCTGGGCCTCACAGTGATTCTCGCTGTGTAAGTTTCCGCCTATTCTGGGCGCATTGTTCGAGCTCTCTGCTCTCTGCGACGCATCCCCAGGGGGGTCTCCGCCTCCTAGATGGTTCAATGAAGAGTCCCCTTGGGACCTATTTTCGTCTCTCCGTGAGACTGACATATGTGCATCGCCGGGGTCGCAACCTGCTCCCCCCCAACCCCAGCCCGGGGCCGTCGCGGTCTGGTGAGCTTGTGCAAGAGCGTAGTGGGCTTGATACACTCCTGCCAAGTCCTCACCGCCGCTCCCGCTGTCCGAATCACCCCAGCCGTCCTCGTGTCGAGTGGCCGCAGGTCCGCCACTTTCCACTCGAGCTGTGGGTGGCGTTTGAGACCTGTTACCGATAGTGCGTCCGTGTGGTGTTGTATCTTCGTGTGTTGTGCTGTTCATGTGGTGTTTCTGTAAAGTGAGTGAGCCGGGTGTCCTAAACATACGCCATACCTTTTAAACCGATTGTGATCCCCTCTGAGAGCTCCGCCTCTCGAGGGGCCCGTACTGTGCCGTGTCTACTGCTAAAGCGCAGTCGGCACCCGCAGTACGGTCTGCGCAGTTACTTGCTGTTCTCAGTCCTGAGGGCTGGTGGAGAGGACTTCGATTACTCGTATCGGATGTACATAAACAATGGAGTCATGGCTCGTAGCCTGCTTCATCTCCGCCTCACTGCGTGCTCTACAGACCTCACTGGCGACAGTATGTGCCCGAGCACTAGGGCGGCGTATGTGTTCTTTCTAGGTGCGGTTGGCATACCAGCCTCCACGCCCAGATCCCCCACGGCCGCGGCCTCGTCCGTTCGCGTTCCCGCGTCCTCTCTTGCCACGTGGCGAGCTGGTCATACCGTTACCCCGGATTGCGCCCAGGACCCCCTCCATGAAGTTTCCCTGGTCCTCCCTGGCAGGTCCCGCGTTGCTGTTCGTGGTCGTGCCATTGCGCCCTAGGTCTGACGCGTTGAGGCCGCGCCACCCCCTAGCTTTCGGGAGGGGGCACTCCGCCGTGATGTGCGTCTCCGACTTGCAGAGCTTGCAGTCGACTGCAGCTGGGCCCGACTTCGCGTCGTCGATAACTTGTATCTTGCGCATGTTTACGTAGAAGTGGTCCCCAGTCGCGCCGCATAGAGCTTCCCTGATCGCACTCTTCAGGCTGTCCAGTTCCTTTTCCCCCGTCGTGATCGGGCGTGCATAGAAGATGTAGGCGGGGTAGGTGCCGTCGCTAGTCTCCGCGGTGACCGGCTGAAGATGGTAGGTGTCAGTTACCGTCTTGAAAACCTGCTCATGGTCGCCCGTATGCCCTATATTGCAGGTCGCCAGCTTCGCGACGAGGTCCCGATATCCTTGGTGAGCCTTCAATCTGCCTATGATTGTGTTGCGCGTCGCGTCGCGCATGGCTAGTACCTTGTTATGGGCTGCGTCTAGTCTCGGAAGGTGCGGGCTCATTAGTACGAAGAGCTTCCACGGCTGGGGGTTGTCGGATACAAGGGGGTAGACGGAGAACGACAGCAGCGGGCTGATAGCGAAATGTTCCTGGTATAGGAGGAAGGCGCGAAGGAAGTCGGCCGGGTCGTTTTGAATGTCGACGTAAAACGTCCACGGCTGGGCGAAGGGGTTTTTGCTGCCGATGCCTCCTGCGTTCCGTGGGTCAGGCGGAGTCACTATGACGTCCGCGCCCTTCCCCCCGAGGCCCTCGAAACGGAGAGAGGAGAGGAACTCCTGGAAGCATTGGGCGATCTTGACCGCCGCTTTGTTCATCTCTCGTCCTCCTCCGTGGGGTACCAGGGCTAGCAGGGCCTTCCCCCTCTCCTTGACCATCGCGCTCTGTTGGTCTTGGATGTTTCCGAGGTGACGCCAGTCGCTTATGTGAATGTGCGGGAGGGGGCCGGTTACAAAGGCTTCGCCGCCTTCCGGGAGAGCTGGTTTCTCCTTACCGATCTGCGCGAGCCAGTAGTTGGGATTCGCATGGAACCCAGTCGGAATGCCCGAGTAACGTGCCTCGTCGAACTCGGGGTTGTACGACTTGGTGTCACCGAAGAGTCGCACCCAATCTTCTAGGGCCTCTGGGCGTTCCGGGTGCTGGCCTTTCTTGGGCTCCTTGTCCCATGAGGACTGGGGCGGGGGCTTCCTAAGCGGGGAGAGCTCACGGTCAATAGTGTCGGTCCTGCTCACAGAGTAGGTCGCTCGCGACGTTCGCAGTCTCTTCAGCGCTACAGTTTCTTCGCTACTTCCCTCCCGTTCCGTGAATAGGTCTGACGCCGCGTCCATCGCGTCGTCACTATCGCGGTCTGTCTGGCTTCGCGTTTTATCGAAGGGCGGGAGCGGTCCCTGCTGTTGCTGTTGTTGCTGCTGTTGTTGTAGCAGCTGGGGCTGAGAGTCGGGCGGCGCGCCAAGGGTCGAATCCGCTTGGGGGCGGCCGTCAGCTCCTTGTGCAGTTTGCGACATTGCTGGCTTCTGGCAGTGGCTCAGGACGTGCGATGAGGAGAGAGGTGTATATGTGCATCTTTCACTGTGGCGGGTTTAGTTAAAGGGCTACGTTAGCGCTTATTCTCGCTTTGTTCTGTTTGTACGCTTGTCTATAGTGTACGCGATGTCTTTGTCTCATCTGAATCCCGCCGCTACCTTTG